TTTGTAAAGACTCTCTTCTTGGAAAATGAAGCAACGCAAATGTGAAGAAGGGAAACGGGGACGGGTAAGGAAAGTAGGATAAGGAATTCGCTTTATTGAGTGGTATGGTGCTTGCCTGTGCTGCTAACTGATGAAATGCCATGGAAGATAAAGAATGAGAGATTGGGGAAGGAAAGAGGAGGTAACAGTAAAATACAGGCAACACCAAGAACACATAAGACAGGTAACAGGAAGGATGAAGTAACAGAAATCTAAGGCGATTTTTTTTGTTTGTTTGTCGCCCCCCGTGGGCAGGCCTCTACAGCTGCAGTTAGCGCTTGGCCCCTTTGCCGTGCACTGAACTCTGTTTTCTCTGCCACCTCACTTTTACTTTGTTCTTGTTTTGTTATCCTTTCTTCTCTTTTTTTAGGGGGTGCCTATTCTGCCCCCCAATTTTTCCCTGTTTATGAGGTCACAATGCGTACCACGTGAATATGCAGCGACGCCGGAAGGCACGCGCGGAACCGGTGGGGGGCGTCCTAGCGCCCTCGGCCCGACGGGGAAAAGGCCTCGTTGCTGCTGCAGCATTGTGTAAGGGGAGACGTGAAGCGTACCTTACGGGATTTTGTCGACGCTAATTGAACGACATTGAGGACGTCCTTTTTCGACTTGCTAACTGTCGCACGGACGAAACACTTGCATCCTGGTCTGGGCAAGAGGGAGCGGCAGGCGTCGAAATCGCTACGTGATTGGTGTGTCGTGCCGTAGGACGCCTCAAGTGCGTCACACACCCGCCTACTATTGGAACTTTGGACCCAACACCGGCGGTTTTTGCATCAAGAGGCACCCGTGCTTGTTGGCAATGACTGGTTGCTTTCGCTTCTGCAGCTTTTGTGTACTTGACGTAGAAGTGTCTACGCGAATGGGCCGCAGCCCTCCACACACCAAACTTTTTGGTTGCAACCGCGGGTATTAAGGTGACTATGTGTCTCATCTTGTTGTTGCGGTTTGGTAGAAGGGTCAGCTGCCTGGTGGGGAGAATTCCACAGAGTTGCACATTCTCCCCGGTGCGAGAAAAATTATCGTTCTAGACTTGTCACGACTACCCCGAAGACGCCACCAAGGAGCTTATAGCGAGGTGTACTGTGCATTCATGCGGCGACTCCGAAGTGCCTGGCGGGCCTCGTCAATGGGTATCATGCTCTTCAACGCTCTGTTGGTTGACTGCTACTTGGAGGAAAGGGCTAGTATTTAACGCGTCGTTCTCGCTGGAGGAAATTTTGCACGTGAAATTAATGCATGCTTACATTCAGTTTGTAGTACTTGTGGTAGCTGCCGTGATTTTATACGGCTGGTGCTGGTGGTAGAGCTGCGAGGGAGCGTGCTATCGTTTCTACCACCTGCGTCATTGGCCTCTACTTCGTGTCTTTTTTTTTTTTTGCTTTCTGCGTATATATGCATATGCATATATATAACATGGATGGCGCGGTACCATCGGACCAATTTTTCTCACTTAAATCACATGCACTTAAGCGCGCTCCCTTGCAGGGAGAAGCGGTGTGCGTGGGTGGGTGGTTTGCGGGTTTTGCGAGGAGCCATGACGGCAGTTTCCTTGAGCGACGTTCTCGAGGCGGCGGTGCGGCAGTGTTCGCTCCTTTCCTTCGGCGCGCATTCACGCGTGGGGGGGTGTACAGTTTTTGTTCCTGAAGCCTCCGGACGGGGCATATTGGCCGGCGGCTGCATCACAGGGGTCTCGTGTCATGACGAAGAACTGACACTCACGGTTGTTCCCGCACAGCTACGACTGCTTCCACTGCGGTTTTCCACACCCGACAGTTTTTTCCGCCTGGACGCTGACTTGCCCTGGTTGGATGCTGTGGCGCTACTTGACGGATTGCCACCAGTGCGCCTCCAGGGCGTCTCGCCAACGTTCCCCGTGTTCCGCGACGGCGGCTTGCCAGACGATGATGTCTCTGATTCCGATCGGGAACGCAGGGCGCGCCAGCACTTGGAGCGCCTTTGTGCGCTGGCTCCGCCACACTTAGCAGACCACGTCCTGCTCACTTGGAGACCTGTCACCGCGTGGTTTCTCGTGTCGTACCTGGACTCAGAGAGTACACCGGACCCATGCGTCTTTATCCTTCCCGATGCTCTAGTGGTGCGGGCAGCCGTGGTGCAGGTTGGCTTTCGTGCCATCTCTCCACACACCCGCGAGGCCCTCGTGATGCCCGCGTTTGACGTCGTGCGAAGGAGGTTGCAGAAACTCCAGTTGCCAAATTGCGTCGTGCGGGTAATCGGAGAAATGGATTTCTCGATTGCGCCTCCGTTACTCTTCACATCTGCGGCACGGATGACATTGTGATTGCTTCCTCTTTTTTTTTTTGTTTATGTTCTCCTCGCCTTTTCAGAGTGCCAGTAGCCATTCTGTAGCTCCTACGGACAACGCACTCGTTTTCCTTTTTTTTTTCTTTCTCTGCTTTTATTCGCCACCATCACCTCTGTATGTGTTACGTGCTACTGCTGCTTCTAAGTTTTTCCACAAGAACAAATACTGTTAGCGTATACATACATATATATATATATACATACATAGTATCTGCGTACATACACGTATCGTTTTTCATATGGTGGACCCGTTATCGCGAGAGGAGAACGCCTCCAAGTCGATTTCCTTCTATCGGGGGTTCTACGACGCACAACTGCGGCGCCCAACAAAGAATGTGGACCCCACAGTTTCTCAGGCAGTAGGCGGCGCTATTTTTACGGCGTTACCCTTTGCAGCCGTCTTGTATTTCCTCATGCGGCGCCGCACAAGGGTGGCTTCTGCTGCATCCGGCGCGAAACCTGGGCAGTTCATGAAAAATGTGATGGAAATGGTGCAGAAACAAATGGACCCTTTGGGCGACAAAAATTTTCGTCTGGAGGTTAGGGACACAAAGTTTAAGGATGTCATCGGGGTACCAGAGGCGCTGGAGGAGGTACAACAGTACGTGAGATTCCTCAAAACACCAGAGCGCTTTACAAGGCTGGGCGGCAGACTGCCGAAGGGATGCATCCTCACCGGACAACCAGGGACGGGGAAGACACTCTTGGCGAAGGCTGTCGCAGGGGAGGCGGGTGTGCCTTTTTTAACCTGTAGTGGAGCGGACTTTATTGAAGTGTATGCCGGATCGGGCCCGAAGCGGGTGCGAGAATTGTTTGCAGCTGCGAAACGTGAGGCGCCTTCTGTGATCTTTGTGGATGAGATTGATGCGGTGGGATCACGCAGCAATGGCCAGGGAACGCTGGGGCTGAGTTCTGAAGAGAATCGCACAGTGAACCAGCTGCTTGCGGAGCTCGACGGCCTTCAGGCAAACGAGGCTGTCGTCGTATTTGCCGCCACTAATTTTCCGGATAACCTCGACAAGGCCCTCCTGCGCGAAGGTCGCTTTGACCGCAAGATAGAGGTTCCAATGCCGGATCAGCAGGCGAGGGAGGATCTCTTTACGCATTATCTCAATCGCGTTGTTACCTCCGATGCGACTTCTAAAGCCAAGCGACTCGCCCGCCTTACGCCTGGCGTATCACCTGCCACGATATCCACCATCGTCAATGAAGCGGCTCTCGCGGCGGCTGTGCAGGGGCATGAGGAAGTTACCGAACAATCTCTTCTCCCCGCCATTGACGACGTCCTCGTGGGCAAAAAACACCGTAGTCGAATGTCGGAGGCGGCGGCCCGTCGTGTTGCACTGCACGAGAGTGGACACACGCTAGTGGCTTGGCTCCTTCCAAGACAGTCAGATGTCATTAAGGTGTCCATTACACCGAGAGGCCCAGCCGCGGGTTTCACGCAGCAGGTTGGGAAGGAAATCTTTGATATGCCCACCGACGTGTCGCTCTTCACAGACATTTGCGTTATGCTCGCAGGCCGCCTTGCGGAAGTCACCCAGTACGCCGAGCTCACAACTGGTGCCCAAGACGACTTTCAAAGTGCCACAAGGATGGCAATACAAGCGTTTTTGGCTTTTGGCATGTCGTGCCATGTCGGTCTCCTTGCATATGAACCACAGCGGTTAGAAGAGGGGAGAATGTACCAGAGGCACTCGGAGAAGGTTCAGGCCATTGCTGAAGAAGAGGCGGCACGATTGGTTGGGACGGCCCATCACTACACTGAGGGTTTAATAGCGGAGCATAAGGAGCTTCTGCATCAGCTGGCCGAGGCACTTTTCACCAAGAAGGAGTTGCTGATGGAGGACTTGGAGGCCCGCCTTGGACCCCGTGGCGCAGCACGCCTTTCCCTGGATGCTGAGGAGGCACTCACCGCATTTATGCAAAAATCAGAGGAACATGGAACAAAGGCGCGGTGCGCTCCTGGGTGAGGTGTGCTATGCTTTTTTTTTAGTTTTTATTTTTATTTTAGGCTTGTGCGTTAGTTTTCTTCTTGTTAGGATAGCTGTATGTGTGTGCGGTTTTGAGAGGGAGTACCTTTTCGGCTTTGTTTTTTTTCCCCCCCCCCCCCACCCCCCTTTTTTCTTATTCTTTTCAACGTCAAAGTTATACTTTTTTTTCGTTTTGCAACATTCTTTGCACTCTTCGCGGGGCTCGGCTAGTTCGCACTTGTCCACCTTCGTTCTTGCTGCTGTTGTTGTGACTTCTTGCCTCTTGCTTCGCGGCGGTGAAGGTGGTGTAGTGTGTTCGCCCAAAGCAATGGGAGGGCGCGATGGGCACAGACGATGCCGACGTCATTGGGAGTCCAACGGTGGCTGCGATTTTTGAGGATAATTGGGCAGAGCGCGTGCTGGTGCGACGCGGGAAACACAGCCGTTTTTACCGTGTGCATTGGGGAAAAGGAGACGTCTGGCTTGGACTCAAGGAGGAGGAGTGCATTGAACCCCGTGCCACATTGCGCAACGTGACAGCGATACAGCGCCTGAATTCGGCGTTTATTCTGCATCATTACGATATTTGCGTTGACCCCAAGCGTGATACACTGCTGTTTTTTTAACCGAGTTGATGGACTACACCCTCAGTGACATGATGCACGGTCGTCACAGCCGCGGCCATCTGACGGAGGCCCAAACAAAGGCCATAGCCTTTCTAACACTGCATGCTCTGGTGGACCTTCATGACAGGATTGGCATGGTGCACGCTGACCTCAGCCCCTCCAACATTTTTTTGCGTGCTACGGGGGAATTGAAGCTTGGTGATTTATCCAGTGCGATACCTGTGGATGCGGCGGTAGACTACTTTAGCGGCACCTTCTTGTACGCCGCCGTGGAGGTGTTGAAGGACCGGCAGTTGGCTTCAAACCCAAGCAGCGATATATGGGCCCTCGGTGTGACGTTGCACGAATGTGTAAGCGGCAGACACCCATTTGCTGAGGCATCTTGCGGGAATTTTTGGGAATTTTTGTCGCTCCTGGAGACTGCAATGCGAGCTGGACGCCAACCTGTGCGTTTACCACGTATTAGCCAAGGCTTTTACCACGTCCTAAGTGCCATGCTTCGCTGGGATCCCGCTCAGCGGCCCAGTGCTCGCTCGCTTCTGAAGCACATGTGGTTTTCCCAATACAATGTCACTAGTGCCCAGCGGGAGTTATGTATCGTGTCCCCTTGATACCAATTTTTTTTTTGCGTTTTTTTTTTACCTTTTCCTTCTTTCTCTTTATCTTCTTCCTCTCCGTGTGTGTGTGTGTGTGTG